GGGAATAGAGAGTGGGGGAAATCGCCGGCGTGCTCCTGGAGACAGCACACACACAGAACCTTCCTTTTGAGAGTTTTAGAGGCTGGGCATTTAGGGGCGGTCTTAGGAGGGGATCAACGGAATATTCATCAGCTTTGTGCTGATATGCCAAAATGAGGTTTATTTCCATAACTTCATCTTGTCCTGGGTGTGGTTGGCAAATGGCACTAACTGGATCCCTGAGTAGAGTGAGTTAAGTTATTTACCCTCTGGTTGCAGAGAAGTGCAAACCATTTACTCTTAAGTGTCCCTGGTTTAGGGAAGATTTACTAGATGACTGCAACCTGCTCAGCATCTAGATTTTCTGGATGGCTGCAAACTGCTGTTTAACTATCTGTCTCAGTTTCTATATTCCACTTGTCCTGGCTTACTAACCTGTCTCAAAAAGAAGTATACTCTCAAAGGAATCTTGAAGTACATGCTACAAAATAACAGGCCAGTTTCATGGGCTTCTGACCTGTGGAGGTGCACAGGACCTGCACACAGAGGGGTCCCACACTTGCTTTCACAATCTGCTCTCGACATCTTGAAATTCTTAATATTTTAACAAGGATCCCTGCAAATTATGTAGCTGACCTGCCTGTCCTCTTCCAAAATGTCAAGATCATTAAGAGCAGGGTAACTCGGTTAGAGCATCATCCCAATATGCCAAAGTTGCAGGTTTGATCCCGGGTCAGCGCACATACAAGAATCAACTAATGAATGCATAAATAAGTGTGACAGCAAATCAATCTCTCTCTCTCTCCTATTCTCTTTCTCTAAAATCAATAAATTTTTAAAAATTTTTTTAAAGATTAAAGAAAAAGAGAGGCTGAGGAACTGTTCCAGATTCAGAGAGACCAAAGAGACATGACAATTAAATGCCACTCCTGGACCGCAGTCAGGCCCTTCTGCGACCTTCCGGCCACCCCAAGTGGTTTCCAGCGCTCTTAAGTGTTTGCAACTGGAGCAGTGGGAAGGGGCGCCATTCCAGGTACTCGGTAACATCACCAAGCAGCCCTACTGGTTCCACACTGAGTACCTGAAGAGTCCGAATGCAGTTCACCTGGAGGCGTGGCCGTTGCAAGCACTCTTCAGCCCGGCAGAGAGCACGTTCCTCACGTCCAGACTATGTCACAGACCTCGCCTTGCATTAATCAGTGGGACCCTGAAGGTGAGGCTGAGATCTTGATATTTGGTCAGCCTTCTTACCAAAAGGATGTGTCCAAGATGATCATGACCTTGGCTTACTATCACCGCCAACTCTGTGTGCAAAGCTCAGGGAGGAATGCTGCCCAGGAGACAGAGACCCAGAGCTCCCCCATGCAGTCCAGGAGGCGGTGACCCAGTGGTCCCCCAATGCTACCCAGAGCCCAGTTCCCAGGTTATGAAGGCATTTTGGGGCCCTGGAGCACAAGCCAGGCAAAGTTCAAGTGGAAACCCCTATCTGGAGCTCCATTCTCCTAGGTCCTTCTTCTGCAGCAGAAGCTGGGCAAAGGATGGTGTGAGTTGTTCTTCGTTCCCCACCACCACCCCCTATGTTAAGTGTTTGCAAACACGAATCTAAAAAGTTCTAACAAGGAATCGAATTTCCTTAATAAAGAATCTAATTTTTTTAGAAATGCAACTCCTGGATTGGATCCTGGATTTGGGGGAAATAGCTACAAAGGATTGTTAAAAGAAATTCAACTACATAAATGTGAGGATCTAATTGGCTTTATTAAATGATTCTGAAATCAGGCAGCAGTCCATCTAGCAATTAGGGAGGAGCTCCAAGGAGATGTACAAAATGAAAGGCTTTTATGGGCAGAGGTGGAAAAAGAGTGCATTGTTTCAGGCAAGATCACCTCCTTCAAGAGACAAAAGGGGTATATCAGGCACATGTTGATATAAGAGAACCCAAACCTGTAGAGAATTTTTATAATGATGTATTTGAGCAAAACAGAGGATATGCCTGGAAGCAAGGTCTCAAGAGACTGAGAAAAATGCTTCATAGAATAACAGGTTGAAGTTTCTTTTATGCATTTAAGATTAAGGAGGGATCATAAGGAAGAGTAAACGAAGGTGGGATAAAGTAAGGCAGGAATAGGATTATAGGACAGTTAAAATTTGTGCTCTCTTGAGGGTGGCCATGCTTTAGAAGGAGGGGCCTGAAAAGGGGGGGTTCCAAAGGTGTGTTAACCTAGATGCACAGGAATAATGGACATGGCTTGCTTAAAGCTAAGATAAACCTTTTACTAGAGAAGTTATATGCCTGGGGCACGACTACCCACCGTAGCCTGCCCAGTTAAGAATCTGTGATGAGATCACCCCATATGGTTACTTTCCACAGAACCACTTTTTTGTGTATACACATTGCCTCTGTAGTGCTGACCAGGAAAATCCAGACTGACAGGTTAAGATTACCTTCCTGGGAGGGGCTGAAATTGCAATTAGGTTAGATGTCTCTATTTGGTGATGTGGGGCTTAGCACAAGTGACTCCATTTGGGGCCTTTTCTTTTCTAATGGGACATTATAGGGACAATTGGCAAAATTTGAATGTGAACTGTGGGTTAGATAATAGAACTCTACCGCCCAGCCGGCACGGCTCAGCAGTTGCGCACCGACCTATATGATCCTATCGCAGTTGGATTCCCGGTCAGGGCACATGCCCGGGTTGCAGGCTGCATCCCCGGTAGGGGGCGTGCAGGAGGCAGCCGATCAGTGATTCTCATCATTGAGGTCTCTCTCTCTCCCCCTTCCTCTCTCTGAAATCAATAAAAACATATTAAAAAAAAAAAAATAGAACTCTATCAATTCAAAATGTCCTGATTTTACCTGGCCTGTGGTTATGCAAGAAAATGTCCTTGTTGGTAGAAGACACATAGTGAATTACTGAAGTGAAGGATCATGGTGTCTGCAACTTTGCTGTAAATGGTTCAGGAAAAAAAAAAATGCAGATGAATCAAGTACAAATACAGGAGCAAACGGAGAAACATTAACAATTGGTAAATATAGGTCAAAGTTACATCCGAGCTCCTTATATTATCTTGCAACTTCCGGAGGGTCGACATTACATCAACATGAAAAGTTCCCGCGGCCAACCCGCCGCCGCGGCCCCTGCCGAGCAAGCGCAGTACACGGCCGCCCGGACCCGCGGTGCACAAGCCCGAAGGCGGGCACCGATTCCGTGAGCGCCGGAGGCCGCCACCGCGGGTCGTGAGTAACGTGGGTCGAGCCCACGTGACCGGAGGCCGGCGTCCAACATGGCGGCCTCCATGGGTCCCTGGCTTCTCTTCCTGACGCTGCTCAGCTTCCTCGGGGAGGCGTCCGGCGGCTTCGGTTGGGGGTGAGTACAGCGCCCGGGGATCGTGGCGGGGGGTGAGGGGTGAGCCAGGTTCAGGGGTCCCCTCTCCGCCCC